TCCCCAGTCTGAGGCACTGTTGACAAGTGATGGAACCTTTAAGGGGTGGAGCCTAGGAGGAGACTAGGTACATGTTCAGGTCATTGGCTGTGAACCTTTGAAAGGGATGTTGGGACCCTAGACTCTTTTCTGTCTCTCCTTTTCACTTTTTGGCCATGTGGTGAGGTGTTTGCTCTGCCTTGCATCCTGCTGTGGTACCCTAGTTTCATTTCTGTTGCGGTGATAATAGATCCTAACAAAAAGGCAACTAGGACAGAAAGGGTTTATTTTAGCTCACAAGTCTAGGTTACAGTCCATCATGTGGGGGAGTCAAGGCAGCAGGAACTTCAAACAGCTGGCCACATCACATCCATTACGAGCAGAGAGATGAATGCAAGTATGTTCACTACTCCGCTCACTTTCTTCTCTCTTTTGCTGGCCAAGACCCAAACCCAGGGAACAGTGCTGCCCACAGTGGGTAGGTTGTCCCATATCAATTAAAACAACCGCATCAGTTCCCCACAGATGTTTCCATAGGCCAACTTGATCTAGACAGTCCCTCACTGAGCCTCTCTTCCTAGGTGGTTTTAGATTGTGTCAAGTAGACAATTTAACCATCTGGGCTGGAGAGATGGCTCAGCGGTTAAGAGCACTGGATGCTCTTGCAGAGGACCAGGGTTTCGTTCCCAGCACCTACATGGTAACTAGCAACCATCCCTGAACTCCAGTTCCAGGGGATCTGATGACCTCTTTCTGACCTCCACAGGTATTGTAACAGTATACTTACATGCTTTCAGATAAAATACTCATATACATACTTTTTTTTAATTAAAAAAATAGTCATCACATATGGTATGCCAGCACAGGCCCAAAGCAACAAGGCTAACCGCTCACAGGTGAAAACATCCACAACTGTAGCCAAATTAACCTTTTCTCTCTATAAAGTCATTATCATGGGTATGTTAGCAGTAACAGGCTGACTAACACCTATCACAAACACCCTTGTTAAGAGAATTTTGCAGGAGACCTCACACATGCACAGGAGGAGTCAGGTGCAGATGGAGGCAGAGATTCGGGCAATATGCACGTAAGCCAAGGACACCTGGTGCCACCAGAAGCTGGGGGAAGTAGGAGGGGATTCTGCTCCAGAACCTTCTCAGGGAGTAGTACAGTGTAACACCCCCCCCACCCCATGATAGTTATCTTGGAATTCTGACCTCCAGTACTGTGAGCTAATTTCAAGTGTTTTTAGTCAACACATCATTTGTTACAGCAACTTCAAGAGACATGCACAGTGAATAGCCCAAGGCCACATACCTAGTTTGGAGTAAATTTGGTGTTGGGCTGTGTGTATAGTAAGTGTTCAATAAATGCCACAGTGACCATAAACTTGGCCTACTTCATCCATCCCAGCAGATGCTATTGGGGTGAGGCAGGATTTGATGATTCAGTTTTAGGAAGATGCTATTAACACTGGGTGGAGCTCGTTCAGGAAAATGAAGAGACTGTGCAGGTAAACACTCTCTCTGAGTCAATACCAGTCCTTGGAATCATCACCACCAGTCCAACTGGTCCCCAACAATAAGGTTGAAAGGGACTTTGCAATGCATGAAGTATGGTGGCCTAGCAGAACAAAATGGTAAAGGGGCCTTTCTGGAAGATTTTAACATTGAATGTTCTGTCTTCTTTGATAGAGTAAATGTTAATACAATTTGTTGAGGTTATGGTGGTCAGCCCTGCTGTTTATAGTAAGCTGGTGTGGGAACTGATGGCCCAGCTCAAGCCAGCTTACCAAAGGTTTATGTGGCTCTTCCCTCCCCTTCCCTTCCCTACGAGTGGGATAGGAAGGATATCTGCATGGAGTAGGGTGGCACAGCTCAGGAGGCTGGAGTCCATGGGAATGGGAGGGGCCTCCTCACAGAACAGCAGCCTGTCAGAACTCCCATGGGGCATCAGAGACATCTTGGGGTTTGGGTGGTGGCACCAAGAAGAGGAAATTGCTCAAATAAACAGGAGAAACAAAGAGACTACCAGGTTCTCGCTGTCGGAGAAGGGCTGGTTATACCTGTGGGTAGGGAAAGACACAGGCTCCTTGGAATGAGATTGGAATCAGATCCACAAGAGTAGAAAAGCCATTGTTTTTCATTCAGACAGATGACCATAAACATGCCTATAGACACAGAGATACAAAAACAGGCCACCGAGAGCATCCAGAGCTGCCCATTCTGGCAGCACATCTATACCTTGGCTTCTGAAAATAGCTCCACTGAAAGAAACCAGGACCATCAGGAGAAACGATCCCTCAGGGTCAGGGAGGGACAGTACAACCTAAGCCTGGGATATTTTGTGCCAGTGAATGAGGAAGTACATAAAGAATGATGGGGACATGTTGGACAGACATGGAGGCCAGCTTGAAGGGGCTGTTACAGCCCACACCTGGGACAGTCATGACAGCAATGGATTGTGACCTGTGGAATCTCAAGTCCTCACTGCTGTAAATGAAGGCATGCAAAGCTTCCTAAAGATGGGGTATTTACTTAGCCTAGCCTCCCCATGAGTTCTTTCTTTTTTATGTGTATGAGAGCTGCATGTAAGTACACCTGTACATGCAATGCCCAAGGAGGCCAGAAGATGGCTTTGGATCCCCCGAAACTGAAGTTATAGATGGTTGTTAGCCTCCATCTGGGTGCTGAGAATCAAATCAGGGTTCTCTGCAAGAGCAGCTAGCATTCTTGATCACTGAGCCATCTTCCAGTTAAAAATTAATTTTTTTTTTTGGAGACAGGGTTTCCCTGTAGCTCCAGCTGACCTAGAACTTGCTATGTAAACCACTGCTGGCCTTGATCTCATAGAGCTCCATCTGCCTCTGCCTCCTGAGTGCTGGGGTTGAAGACATGTGCTACCACACCTGGCTGAATTTTTTTTTTTTAATTTAGCAGCCAACATGGAAAAATTAAGTGATTAAAAAACCCCTACAAATCCAGGTTTCCTACTTCTTTGGTGGAATGTGGATAACTAAGAACCCAAGGCAATGGCTGGTGAGGCAAATGGCTTAGATGGGTCTTTTAGATGGGTTGTGTGACCCTTAATTCTCCGAAGTCCTGCCCCCAACTCCTCAGCATGTCACACACACAGCCCACAGCACCCTTTTGCCAGTCTTAGCTCATTATAAGGATGGGAAGATGAGTGACTCCAGAGCAAGCACTTTAAAGTGTGTTGGGTGGATGGACAGATGTAGGGAGGGAGAAATGGATGGGAGGATGGAGAAAGGAAAGAATGGGTGGGTAGATGGATGGAGGGATGGATGGATGGATTTTCAAACATACCACAAATGCAGAGTGAGGATTTATCTTGGCACATCAAGCCCATGTTTTATGTCAAGAAAGTTTTCTTGTATCAGCCATGGTTTTGGATGGCTAGGCTGGGACAAAGCAGGTTGAGAAATCAGAATGTCATCTGATGCCAGAGGCTCCATGAAGGCTGTGATCTCTCCACGGAATTAGTGGAGGCGTCAGAAAAGTGGGTGTGGTTCTGGCACTGAGTTGGGGTGACGGGCAGGCTGGTGAGGCTTTGAGAGATGGTATCGTGGGATGCCTGAGGCAGTGAGGTTGGGTGGGGTGGGAACAAGCCAAAATTGGTGACTTAAGCTCCTATCAGTAGATCTGACTTGATGGGGCCCGCTACAGTCTACATGAGCAAAAGATAATAATGGTTCTATCTCCCAGCCTGTCACTTCCTGGTTCTACCTGGGTCATGCCTGTGGTGTGGATCAATCTCCCCTGTCATCTGCCCCTGAAAGGGTAAATTAAAAATAATTTTAAAAGGGTTAGCAGACGTTTCTGGCACTAGTGATTCCTTATTGTCTTTATTATAAACCATAAATTCTTTGCCACTCCCCGGCTCACCTTCCTGAACTCAGCTCCTAGCACTGCACTTATCTCTCCTTGTTCACTCCTCTCCCATTCCCTTCCCTCATCTCTCTGGTTCCTCACACATATCAAGATCTTTCTTACTTTAAGGCTCTGCTCACTCACTTTCTGCCCTTCAGCTCTCAGCTCAGTGTCAGTTCTCCAGAGGTGCTGCCCCAACCCTCTACATCAGCCTGAGTCTCTGTCATCCGAACTGCCTTGTTTGCTCCATCCATCCATCCATCCATCCATCCATCATCTATTCATCTACCTACCTACCTACTATCTAGATATTTAATCTGGGACACGATCTATAGCCCAGATGGACTTGAAGTGGAATCTTCCATCTTGTCATTTCTGACTTCTGGGATTACAGGCATGCACCCGGGTTATGCAGTGCTGGGGACAGAACTCAGGGCTAGCTAGGTAAGCACTCTACTAACCCAGTTACATTTCCAACCTTTAATTGCTTTACTTTTTTCACTTATGCTCATCAGCGTCTGAGAGAGTCTTGTTTGGGTGCTGTATTGCATCCAGTCCCCAACAGATTGATTATCAGCTCCAGGAGACTAGGGATTTTGCTACATTGTCACTTTAGTGCTCAACACAGTGCGTGGCAGAGTGGGGCCCAATGAATATTTAGTCTGAAATGAGAAGTTCTCCACAACGGTATTGCGGGGTTTTGGATGAGCTGAGCACTGGGCGTTAAGCTGGACGGTGGCTGAGATGGATTGGGGTCCAGGCTGTGAGAAGCGAGTAGTCAAATGGTGACTGAGTTGGATCGTACGCCTGGTCAGACCAGCGGCTATAGGAATGGCGCTGGCCGCGGCTGAAGTGGCCTGTGACTGACGGCCTGAGCCGAGCTGCGGCCCCCCATGGACACCAGGGGCAGCCAGGAGCCCGGCGGGGGCGAGCAGGGTGAGGTACACCTGGGCTGGGCGCGGCCCACCTGGGCCCGGCCCAGCCAGGGACCGAGAGCCGCGCGCTTCCTCGAAGTCCCGTCCCCTGGCCAATGGTGCCGCGGAGGCCGGCAGCGGCAGGCTCCGATTGGGCGGACGGTAGAGGGGCGGGGCCTCGGGCTCTTAGGCCCTCGGCCTGAGGGCGGCGCTCGGCGCTCGCTGCGAGGCGGCGGGCGGGCGGAAGTGGCGACGCTGGCGTCCCGAGAGGAGGCGGCGGGAGGCGGCGACAGCCCCGGCGCGGACGGCGGTAGCCCAGGGGGCGGCGTGGACGCCCGGGGCGCCGGTTGGGGCATCACCGCGGGCCTCGACCCCGAAATGGCGCTGCTGGCGGAGCACCTGCTCAAGCCGCTGCCCGCGGACGGGCAGATCGAGACCGGGCCCTTCCTGGAAGCGGTGGCCCACCTGCCGCCCTTCTTTGGTGAGCGGGGCTCGGGGTGGGAGCACCCGGGGCCTCCCGACTTTGCCCCCACGCGCGAGTCTGTTCCCCGCGCCCACACGAGAGCCCTGCAACTTCTCCCAGAGCACTGCCGGGACCTCTCCCCGGACCCTTGTCACCCTCCATCTTTCCCAGACACCCCGATCCTCCGTCTGCACAGACCTCTCACCTGTCCTTTCCTCTCAAATGCACCGCAGCCCTTCACTCCCTCTCACCCACATCCCTCCAACAAGCCCTTATCTGCACCCGGTGGCATGCTGCACCAGCCCTCTGACTCGCCCAGATATGCTTTTTCTTCTCCAAACACCTTCGACACCATCATTCTTCCCTTTCAGAATGGTTCTCAACTCCCCCTCCCCCTTAAAATGAATAAGCCCTCCTCAGCCTCCAGCCTCTCCCCTAACCTGTGAACCCTTCCTTCAGAATCCCTCCACACCAGATCAAAGGCACCCCTTCCCACGTAACCTCCAAGTCTAGAGCCTGGGGTGGGAGTGGGGGTTGAAGATGGAGGTACAGACCCCAAAGTCCCTTTTTAGAGGCAGTCATAAAAAGGTTTTCCTCCATCTAGGACAGGGGTCAGAAGGGGGCCTGCTTTGTTGGGTGATATCAGACTCCTGGTGCTTGGCACTAATCCCTCCCTCACTTTGGGTTGGAAAAGAGAAAGTCCCCTCCTCCCTATATCAAGTTGAAAAAGCTCCTGGGAGCCCAGAAAAGGAGGTGGGAAGCCAGTTTCAGAGCACACCGCCCTGCCTTCCCCTCCCACCCAGTCCAGGCTGGGATGGAAAATGGGAAGGGAAGCCAATGCCATCTGCCCTGCCCTTTGCCTTTCAGTTCAGAGAGGGTGCAACCTGAGTCTAGCTTTCTCCTCCATGGGGACTCTCCCAGTACCCCGCCCTGCTGGCTCACTTGGTATTACAGGAAGACACCAATCCTCAGGCAGAGTCCAGTTGAAACTCACACTCAGGCAGAGTCTTGAGGCTGACTTGACCTGAAGTCACTTGCTTGGCCCCAAGGAGATAATTTGAGCTTTTAGGGGGCATGTGGCCATGTACATCACTATACCAGCTTTCCTCTTCCTCTATTGAGCCTCTTAGTCCCCATCTGTGAAATGGAAATATTGACTAGACTGGCTATGGGGACTGAATGAGGGCAGACATGTGAGGCACTGAGGCTGAGTGCCAGGCAGATGTTAGCTGTGGAGGGGAAGTTATGTCACCCAGTTCCTGGATCTAGTTTTGGACCCTTCCTGTAGATGACTAATCAGCAGCCCTGAGCGCACTTGCCTGGTTTTTATGAGGCTTGGACCTGGTCAGCAACCTGAGAGTCCCATCTTCCACAGCTGCTGCCATGTCCTGAGTCCCTGAACACTAGTAGGTGCTCAGTCCACCCTGTTGAGTGAGCAACATCCTCTTATCACAGTATCTCAGTTTGGAGATAAGATTACAGCTTGGGAACTGCTCACCTTCTCATGAAGGAGCTTTGGTTTTTGTGACAGCATTATATTTTTTAAAAATTACATTTATCTGCCTGCCTGCCTGCCTACCTATGGTGTGGGTGGGCCTGCAAATGTCAAGGAGAACACGTAGACATCAGAGGACAACTTTGGGGCGTCAGGTCTCTCCTTCTACCATGTGACCACCAGGGATCGACCTCAGGTTGACAGGTTTGGTGACAAGCACCTTTATTTACTGAACCAGTTTGCTGCTCCCAACAGCATTGTGTTGTGTGTTTGCTTCCTCCTTGATCCTATGAGTCGTTGCAAGTCATTCAGCTTGTCCCATGTACTTGAGCCAGTACATCTCCACTGAATGTACTTTTGATTCTTAAGGGGCATGTGGCAGTGTCTGGAGATGGTTTCATTTGTCATAACTCATATGAGGAGGCATGCTGAATGGTACAGGGTGCCACAGGGGTGTTGCTAAACACCCTCAGTACACAGGACAGCCCCGGCACAAAGCATGATGCAGCCTAAAGCATCAGTGGCTCCACAGTATGCCATCCTTGACAAGCTCTGTGGGGTGGCTTTCCTGTCTTCGCCAAGACAGCATGTTAGCTCTTTGGGCACCAAAGTGGGTGTGAGTATCTGACTGAGAGGAGATGGAAGGCAGCAGCTGGAGCCAGAAGACGAGTGTCCCTGCCTCGCTGTCCTGGGTCTCAAAGGATCCTTGTCTTTGCTGCCATCTCCTGGGCTATGGGGTGTCATAGTTGTGGACAGAAATACCATTTAGACAGAAGCATCGGTGGGACTGGCCTGCGAAGGGTTAACTTTCTCTCTGCCCTCCAGAGCCATTCACTGTTCACCAAAAAGGGTCCTTCTTGGCTTTCCTACTAGAGAAAACATGGCCTCCACTTTGAATTATGCTCTTCCTGGCCAGAGCTTTCTCCTGAGTACCTGGGTTTCAGGAGTTTTTCCAATCTGGCCTTGTAGACCTGCTGTCAGCTCTAAGGTGGGGACATGGTCTAGATCTTAGGAGCATCCAGCCCTCTGGATGAGCTAAGCCGATCTTGTGGCCTTAGACCACAGCTGGTCTAGAGTGATGGCTAAAGGAGTCCAAGAGACATTGTAGGGACAGTTTTTTAAGTTAGGGTTTGTCCACTGTAGCACTTGTCAGCACTGGGGTCATTCTTTTCAGCGTTGGGGGTCTGTCCTGTGCATTGTGAGACGCTGAACCACATCTCTGGCCTGAAAGATGCCGGTTCACTGCCTCGGTTGTGATGATCACAAATACTCCAGAAAGGCAAACCCATGCATGGTAGACCATTGTTCTCAGTGTGTAGATGGCAAAGGGCTGAAATCTGTGTTCTTAAAAAGTATTTAATTTGGGGCTGGAGAGATGGCTCAGCAGTTAAGAGCACTAGCTGCTTTTGCAGAGGACTTAGGTTTGATTCCCAGCACTCACATGGTGACTTAACAATTGTCTATAATTCTAGTTCCAGGGGATCCAGCACCCTCTTCTGACCTCCAATGGCATTGCCTGACATGGGTGTGTTTACATACATGCAGGCATAATACTCACACACATAAAATAAAAAGCGTTTAATTTCATTCCTTGAAAGAAAATTGAGTAAAATCAAATCATGACTGTCATTTATTGAGCACTTGTTAGATATGGTTATTAGTTCACTTAATCCTTCACAACCATTGTTTGTTTGCTTGTTTTGAGACCAGGGTCTCGCTGTGTAGCTCGGGTTGGCCTTGAATTCACTGTGTAGCTCAGGCTGGCCTCACACCCCCCCCGCCACAGTTTCCTAAGTGCTGGGGTCATAGGCATGTGCCGTGCTCAGTTTCTCAAATCTTCTTTTCTTTGCTTTTTGTTTTGTTTTCTGAGACAAGATCTCATTCTGGTCTAGAACTCATTATATACCCAGATTAGCCTCAAACTCAGTTCTCAGCTTCCATACTATTTGGATTACAGGTGTGAACCACACTTCTTGCCTCTCACAACCTTTTGAAGGAAGGTTCTCATTTCAGAAAATTTTCTTTTAGACTCCTCCATATGTTTTTTTAAAATTATTTTTATTTTTATTTTATGTGTATTTGTGTATTGCCTCCATGTAGGTAAGTGCACCCATGTCGAGTAGTGCCCGCAGAGGTCAGAAGAGGGTGTCAGATCCCCTGGGACTGGAGTTAGACAGTTGTTTTAGCTGCCATGTGGATGCTGGGATTTGAACCCGGGACTTCTGCAAATTCTTTACTGCTGAGCCATCTCTCCAGCCCAAGATTAGATCAACAGAGATACGAGAATTATAAAAAAGGCTCAAGTCTGACTTCTGGAGATGAAAACAAGAGGTCAGAAGAGGGTGTCAGATCCCCTGGGACTGGAGTTACGGACAGTTGTTAGCTGCCATGTGGGTGCTAGGATTCGAACCTGGGGCTTCTGCAAGAACAACCAGTGTTCTTAACCGCTGAGCCATCTCTCCAGCCCCCTAGACTCCTCCATATGTTTAAAAAAGAAAAACGTGTAATGTGTCAGTTACCATCTTCCATGGCTGCTTACGATTCCCCTGTTTGAATGTGGCCAGGCTTTATTTCCCAATCCCCTCCTGCTGGGCCCTCAGATTGCTTCTCACTGTTCACTGGGCAGCAGTGCTGCGGTAGATATCGTCATGTGTATTTCTCCTCATAACTCTTTGGGTATTTCTCATTTTTAGGAGGGAAATGACTGGGTTTAAGGGCTTGAAGGCTTTGTACCTGTTGGAACAGCCTCCTTAATCCACCCTGGTGTGGTCTATGACCATTGGCTGGGCTTAGGAAGCACTGTTTCTTTCTGCCCCTGTGGGTGTGGTCTGCAAGCTAGCCTCCTGCTTGGCTGGTTTAGAGCATCTTGGGCTGGGCTTGCCCCTCATCTGTATCCCCAGCCTGAATCCTTTCCCTTGGACAGGACTTACTGCAGCCACTCAGAGGCTGACCTTTACCTGCCTTCTTTCCCTCTCTTGACCTAGTAATTGGACCTTACTGACTGATCTGTTTACAAAACTGACTTTTGTGAAGCCTGCCTTCTCATTTTTTTAGGTCAGTTATGCAGCTGTTCTAGAGGCTGAGAGACTTAAATGCCATTTAATGACTCCCTGCCTAGGAAACTCAGTGGCCCCCTGTGGCCCTGTGCCTTAGCCTTTCTGATGACTCTCGTTGGCACAGATGAGACCCTGCCATTGCCCTCAGATCTCTCCTGTGTCCACCCTCCCCTGTGGCACAGCACGCCTCTCCCCCACCTGACACCGCTTTCCTTTTGTCCGGTGAGGTTCCACACACCCTTAAGAAATGAGCTTAGCAATAACCTCACCCAGAAAGTCTTTCCTTGCCTCCCTTGGACTCAGAGAACCTATTATAGTCTGTGACTCTGAGTGACTTCAGTGCCTAGCACTTGGTGAGTTGGAATAGTTGCTGAACAAATTCTTATTTTTGAGACAGGGTCTTGCTCTGTAGCTCAGGCTGGTCTTGAACTCATGGTCCTCCAGCCTTGGCTGGAGTGCTGTGGTTA